TTTATTAATAATGTGTATATATGTGATGTTAATTGATGAAATGTCATCACCGTCAACTTAAGTTATTGGCAAAGCTCAAAGTATATAAACCTTTGATTTTGGATACTGAGAATTGGTTTGAGAAAGCCAGGTGTTGTAGCACCTATCTGTAACCCCAGCATTGGCAGTTAGGGGCACCCTTAGGCCAATGTCAGACAAACAAGTTTGAGGAGTTCAAGCTGTACATGAGACCATGTCTTGAGAGAAAGAGAGAGAGACAGAGACAGAGACAGAGACAGAGACAGAGAGAATGAATGAATGAATCTTACTTTATAATGAATCATGGTTCTTGTTCAAGGTTTGGGGAACCTTAAGACCAGAAAGTCAAGTGAACTGGAAGAACTGGTTTCAGAATTTATGGAAGCCTAGGTATTAGTGGAGACTCTTGCTGGAATATGGAGCTTATATAAACTGTAAGACCTGCTCACTCTTTTCCACAGGTGAATTCTCAAAGTAGTAAGAGCTAAAAGCTTAAGAAAAACCTAAACCACATTATCCACCTTCTGGTCATGAAGCCCTATTTCAGGAATTCAAAAACCTCTCTGGACTGTTTCCTTTCCTTGGGATATTAAGGAGTTATCCCTGCAGGCAGGACATTCCAGAGCCTGGACTGAGCAGGACTCCTGCAGGACTATGAGGTAGTAAGAACTGCTCTCCCAGGAGGTGGTAAGAACTGTTCTCCCAGGATCTCCAAGCTGGGTCCCTGTGGCCATATGACACAAGGAGACCAGGCAGTCCCCAGACTGAGATATCAGCTGATGCTGTGTTGATTTAATGCCAGCAGACTCTTGGTTTCCTGTTGCTGGAGTTTAACCTCAAGTTACCCTTGGGAAGGGCAGGCAGGTTACTGGGGTATGACTCAATCCTTGTAATTTCTACTTTTTTTGCTCTTAAAAGTTCAGGACATGAAGGCTGGGGATGTAGCTCAGTTGTAGAGTACTTGCCCAATATGAGGAAGGCCCTGGGTTCCATGCCCAGAATATTTTGTGGGTGTATGCGAGATGAATTGTTCCCTACTAATGGAGAGGCCACACAGACAACTTGATTATATCATAACCAAAAAGCTCCAGACACAGTGCGCCCAGATTCATTTAACTTTTATTAGTAACAAACACAATCTCAGATCAATACAACTAGCTTCAAGAGTGGATATTAATAGAAATTACTCAGAATTATCCTTGAGTCACACATAACTACCCCACATAAAAAAGGAGAAAATCCCACCCAGGTAAGGAAAAAATTTCCTGCATGTTTTCATGGCAGTGAGTAGGCACTCTCACACTCCCACCAATTAATTATATACACTTCAATGAGCACAGTCAGCCTCTGGAAAGAACAATGCAGACTAACAATGGCGCCTAGCACATATGGACATGTTAAGGTCATGGTGGATACTGCTATGAAAGTCTGCAAGACATGAGAGTTCTTCTGCTGAGGATCCCAAAATGCTTCATAAAAAGCTTTAGTCACACCTCAAAACTGCCCCTTGAGGTAGGTCAGTATTATTACCCCATTTTATCAAAGGAAAAGTGAGGCACATTAGAGTTAAGTGACTTGCTCAGAGCAATAGTTTCATTGTGTCCTCCAAAGTTCATGTGCTGGAGACTTAATTCACAAAGTTTGAGAAGAGAAACTGTTAGGTGTTTAGCTCAGGAAGTTTTTGAAGAGACCGATGACCTTATCTCTGGGGTGGGTTTGTTACAAAGGAGGGGGTCACACAGCAAGTCATACATAAGAGAGGCCTTGGCTTTAGCCACCAGTGATGGTGGTCACTTTGCTTACCTTTGACACTAACCCATCTGAGCTACACCAAGAATACCCTCAGGTACTATCAAATCAAGGAAAAAAAACTCTCTGTTGCCTACCACCATCATTATTTCATGTTTAACAATAATGATAATAGGACAATAAAATGCACTCAAATTATTTCTACTCTCCATCAAATTTTGAACATTTAATGAAAACATCTTTAAGAAACTTTCCAAAATGAAGCCCACGAGAGACTTCTGAAAATACCATACTGACAATCCTCCAACCAGGTTTGTGTTTATACCTGCTATATCTGCAGGATTTAGGGGTTAAGGGAGTCTAGAGAAGGAGTGAAGACAGACTCATATGCAATACATATTAGAAAAGAGGTAAGGCACTCAAAGTTGTCAGCACACCTACAGTACAAGGACTGTTAGAAATTCACCTTTGAGAAGTTCTGTCACCTGAATTGAGCTTTAGGATCTTGAAAATGGCTGTTCCTCACTGAGCTGTCACACTCCAACCTAAACATCCACTTATACACAGAACCTCAGTCTGGGGTCTCTAGCTAGCCTTGCGTTGTGACAGGGCATGAATCAGATCCACATGATTAGCAGATAAAGGAGAGAAAGCTGATTTTATTGTTCATGTTATAAATCAGACATTAATGACCTGTAGAAGCAAAACTACCCCAGACATTTCCAGAGGGTAGATCAGAGGGATACAAGCCTTTTCTACTTCAGTGAATAGCTCAAAGCATGTGTTCAATTAAATAGAAAAAAAGGTCCTGATCCACAAGTCCACAAGTGAACAGAGCATCTGGCATTGTCCACAGTCAATCCTTATAGCTGCAGGGACAGGAAAGGCTGATGGTTTTCAAAACATTGATGTTATATTTTCATCTAAACTTTCCTATACCATTGTCTGCTCTGGGATGTGCGATAGAGGATGTTCATTAGTTCATGGCCTCTTAGAGACCACATTTCAGTTGAAGCTTTGAGGCACACTTTGCTCCAGTAAGCAAGACCTTTTCTTTGAGGTGAGGAACTGGGAACTTGCTTGTTTTTTTGCAGGAAGGATAAGGGAACCTCTTCTTTTCACAGGCATTGTGCTATCACCATCACCTGCCTGCACTGATCAGCCAGAGCCACCTTGCAGAGCCTGCCATCTGCTCTGACTCACATAGAAAAAACTACTAACAAACCCTTTCACTCAGTGGGTGGGTCACTGAGACAAAGAGTATTTGGTTGGGCTGTAAATCATGAACCAGAGAACCTCTATGAGCCAAGGATATTCCTAGAGGGCCTACCAAGCTTTTCTGAAGTTATCACTGTGGCAGAGGCACATAGGGTAGAGGTAGAGAGGATCTGGAAGCCTCAGAAACGTGGTACCCAGCTCCCCTTGCTAAAGAGACACAGCAGTTCCATGCCCTTTGTAGGACGGGAGTTGCTGGACAGCAAGTCCTGAGTACTCTGAATGCACTTAGGCAGCTATCTGTCCAGGGAAAGAAAGTGCCAGAGAACAGATCAGTAGGGAGAAAAGAGAATAAGACAGAGTCAAGAATCAAGAATCAAGGGTGGATGAGAGATTCCCACCCTGCCTCCCAGGCAGCACTACACACAGGCTGGATAGTCATGGAGCAAGGAACGCAGGGAAGGTTCAACACGGTAGCGAGAAGCCCAGCTTTTACTCAATATGGAAGAATGTGGTGAAATGAATGAAACTAATGTCAAACTAAAACCTTTGGAATGTCTGGCAGTGTGCTCCCAGAGTACTTCGTTTAGTTTTACCTCTCAGCGGCTACCTGCTGAAGCCATCCCTCAACCTCTCCATTTCCTGTGCAGCAATGGGAGGAACAGACAGGTCATCCCTTTCCTCCTGCCTTCCATTTTTCTTTAGCATAGCTTTTTCAAAATGAAATATTTTCGTGTTCTAAGCAAAGAAAATTTTCACCTTGTTTTGTATGTTTATGCTTGACCCAAGTCTACCTGCTAAAATCTGCCATCTTTTGGTTGTTTGGAAATGGCATAGTAACCCTATCACTATGAGGTGGGTGACTAACATTCTGAGGATGCAGAGCAGAAAGATGAAGAAAGCCAGATGAGCAGTCCATCCTATTCCCGAACTACCAGCTACTGCATTCAGCAAACTGGATGCACCTAACCCGAATACTTTTTCTATGAAGAAAGAAATCTCCTTGTTACTAAAAACTAAAGTCCTCCCCTAACACAGACCACTTAGGATCTCCCCTTTATTTTCAACCATTGATTTACTGTTGTGATCTAATCCCACCAAGCTCCAAGGCTCAGAGTAAGGAGAGAAAGGAAGCATGTCTTTGCTAGGTAGGCCACTGGATATAATCACCCTAGATTCCTTCTCTTCCTTTCTCTCCCACTCTTACTTAGGAATCATGTCCTCTATGCCAACTCTTCTCTTCTGATCATCTACTTGCTGTACCAAATGAAGATTATTTTCCCATTCCATCTAGACAAGCCCATACTTAAGTTAATTAACGGGGGAACTTCCAGGAAAGTTTTATTGCATTTCACCTTTGAGTCAGCTATCTTGAAGTTTAGATCCAGGAAAGAAGTATCTGGTAGCAAAGATCAGACATCAGAAAAGTTGCATAGGCTTTGGAAGTTGGACACAGACCCGTGGCTGACCAGCTGTTTGCCTGGGAGGCAACCAGACAGAGAGGAAGTGATAGAAACGAAGTAAAGTGCAATGGAAATAGAGAAAGGGCCTAATACCTTAGCATCGCAATAGCAAATTTGTTGGCTTTTAATACTCCTTGTTTAGAATATCCAAATTTATTATTATGTAAAGTTGGTGCATAAAATTGTATGCATTTATCATGGTGTATGTTTGGAAGCATATATAGTGTGGAATGGTTAAACTTAGCTAATTAAAATATGTATTACCTCAAAGTTACCAAATCTTTCTCATTTTAAAAGAATACTGTACTGGAATAGGTTAAAAGCATCATCTTTAGCATCCTGGTAGCATTATTCAATCAACAGAACATCAAACCTCTGCTCAGATGACTTTTACAACAGGAACTCAGGAGCCCAAAACTCAGTCACTCTTGTGGCTTCCATCCCCGGTTCTTTTAATCCTGGCTAAGACAGCGGCCTTGGATACTTTCTTCCGGTCATAAGCCAGGCCGAGCGCGGCCATGCAGTCGATGAAGAACGTGGTGAAGTTGATGTGCCAGCGGTACTCACTGGCTGAGTAGTCAAAGGGGAAGGTGTGGTGGTAGTTGTGGAAGCCCTCGCCTGGAACAGAAGCAAGGGGAGCAGTTAGGGAGCTGGGTGGATGGCTGCTTCCTCCTCTCTGCACACTTCTTACCTAGTGGGTACCTTCAATCTTGAACCCTGTTGTTGAATGAAAGATGGATCCATTGTCTTGTATTATGATGCCCTCAGAGGCATCTTAGGCAGGGAGTTGACAGGTTCTACTCACCCCTGCCTGTCTGGGAGTCTTTGTCAGAGGAAGTTTCTATCAGAGGATCAGAGGATGAGAGAAAAGCTGGTCCTGCCAGGAACAGATGTTCCCCTGGAAAATGCCAGAGCTTCAGGAAATCTTGGCCCAAGAACTCAGAGTCTTTGCATAGATGCATGTGTTCAGGAGAAAGCAGGAGCCAAAGAGAGAATTTGGGCAGCGTTTCTTCCAGAGGTAACAAACAAGTACTCCTTCCCACACTGCTGTCGCCCTCTATGAGGCTAGGAATTTCCAGCAGGAGGGGCAGCTTCTGCCAGTCAGAAAAATGAAAGCTCGGCTTTGAATTCTAGTTTCCAGAACTTTGATTCTGGGTTTGGGGAGGTGCTTTGGTAGGACTTGAGAGTCTCTCTAACATCAATTCTGACAGTTCCCAAAAAGAATATTTTTGACAGAAAAAACAAATACATTCTGGATTCAAGACTTCTGTCATGGGTGATATGTTTGCCACCTATTGGCAGAATTTTTCTTCCTGAATCCACTCCAGCACCAACCAACTGACCCTTATCAGGTGGGCTGAAGAACAGCTATTAAGAAGCTGGGTGTGGTGCCCATACCTTTAATTCCAGCACCCGGGAGGCAGAGGCAGGTGGATCTCTGTGAGTTGAGGCCAGCCTTGTCTACATAGTAAGTTCCAGGCCAACCCGTGCTACACAGTGAGACCCTGACTCAAAAAACAAAAATAGCTAATAAAGGAGATTATGGGACCTTGAAGACAAAGATGACCCCAAACAGACTAAAGACCAACAGTGAAATGAATGGGAAAGAAATGTAGGAAGTCCTGACAAGGAAATGGGACCAACCAAGCATCTTGAAACATGGACCCCCTCAGTTGCCCATGGTGTGAACTGCGCAGGGGATAGATAGGATGATGCCAAGCTAAGTGGACTGACAGGATGCTGGCTTTCACACCTACTTTCACAGTGAGGTTCTGAGTGAGCACTCAGCAGGCTTCTGTGCCTGATATTTAAGGTAGATTCAGACACCCACAACAACAAAGGAGAGGAGGTTAATGAGTGGCAACTGGGGCAGCAAGAGATCACCCAGGAGGGCTCCAGGGAATGGTCAGCTTTGTCAGAGAGAATATGAGCATGTGACACGAGGAAAGTAACTCAAGAAGAAAAGGATTAGCGTGTCAGGAAGCAGTTGGAGGGGAGTGAAGGGTAAGACAAGAACAGGTTTGGAAAAGTGATAGGAGCCAAGACAAAGGAAGACATTGGCAGCCACTTGGAACTGATGATCCCAAGGAAGCTGGGACAGGGGGACCTTACATGACTCAGTCCAGATGATTCCGTTTCTATGAAGACATCAGATTTGTATAGCATAGGCTTTATTTCAAAGATGGGCCAAAGTAGGAACATGCAAAAAAAAAAAAAAAAAAAAAAAATGGTAGAAAGGAAGGGATACATAGAACCCCAAAAGAAATAGGAAGAAAAAAAAGTTTAAATAACATTAAAGATAGTAAATATGACTTGGGATGAGAATATGCAGGAGTATAAGGCAGCTATTAATTAATGTTAGGCAGTGATATGCATGGACCTGTGAGCAACGTGTTCTATTGTACTGAATGCACAGTAGCTCTGACCAATGATGAGAAGAGGCCACTGGGTCCTCACAGGGAAGCATTTGAGGCTTTAATCAAAGTCCATATTCACTTGGAAATCAGAACAGGCTAGTTAGAGACAGATGACAGACTTTTTTCTTTGATCTGGCAGCTATCACTGGAATTTTAGAGGAATACTTTCAAGAATAGCCAACATCAGATCATGCAGAAGGAACTGACAAAACTATGCTTTAGCAGAAGATTCCCAGTGTTGGGGGAAGGTGAGTTCCTAGCACAGGACAGGAGAGGAAAAGAAAGAACAAGAGGAGGCAGGGTAGTTAGTAGTTAGAAAGAAAAAAGTTACGGCCCGGCTCTTCAGCTGCCACTGGGGGCTGATAACACGTAGCCCACACTTAGCAGAACAGCATTTCTAAGGCAGTGGGGAAATAAACACATGACAAATGGGGCATACTCAAAAATTATTGAACCAAATTAGAGTTATTTTACACAGTATGGTGATGTGAACCACTAGGCACACAGGCTACCCAGGTAACACTGGTGCTCTGTATTTATGTATATCTTGGGCTACTAAGCAAAACTATAGACCTGCCAGGTGAATGAGGAAAACTCAGAGGCTTATAGGTAGCATTTCAAAATTATTTTACAAGCCTGGTCTCCATAGCAAATTCAGGCCAGGGGTGGCTACAGGGAGACCCTGTCTCAAAAAGACCAAAAAAAAAAAGAAGAAAAGAAATTATTTCGCAATCTAAAATCAAAAGCAGGATTTTTTTGCCCTTTCTATTTTACATTGAGTTGTTGCCTGACTCTCATGAGGATTTCCCAATACATTTCCCCTCAGTTTTATGATGGAAAAACTGAACTATACAGTGCTCATAAAACAAGTCATTCTGGTTCCTCTGGCTCCTAAAACAAATACTCAACCAGCAGACCACGAGACATGCTCATGCTGGGGACTACTGACTTACCAACAGCACCTAGAGAAACCAGGATATTCTCCCGAGACTCAATGTTCTTGTCGTATGGGCGATATCCGTAGAGGTGGGCGGCACTGTTCACCAGCCAGGTGGCGTTGAGCACCGCAGTGTATCTCAGGAAAGTGCTAACATACAAGCTGTTTAGGAAAGTTTCACCCCAATAATACCAGGGCACCAGTGTAGGCAGAATGAAGCACATCAACAGGAGACCGGGCTTGTAGTACCTATGGTGAGAGATCAGACATTGGGTTCATGGAGAGAGGACTCTCACACCTACCTGGACTGTCCACTCTAACTAGATAGGGAGGGGGCAGATATCGGCAAGAGGAAAGGTGGCCCCCCAAAAATCTCTTGAGCCCAGTGTTATCTCACCCTTTAGTTGAGGTGATGTGGATGCAGTAAGACTTTTTAGGATCATCCCACTAGATGCCAGTGTCTTGAACCGGAATACTGTCTCCTGTCACAACTTTTCCTGACTATAAATCTATTGCTCTTTATTCACAAGAGCATAAGATCATGCTGATTACACAGGTTAGGATCAAATCATGGTCTCAGTCAATTCTGCTGCCTGGGCTGTTGTCCATTGGCCTTTGGCTTCTTTGTCTTGCTGGGTAACATCTTTGACAAGACATGTGTGGCAACTGTTGGGCTGCTATTTGCTACTATCTATCACCTTGTAGGCCTTTGCTCTCTCTCCTTTATCCCTAGGAGGCATGCTGAGTGTCCTTAATCCCCTACAAGTCTCTGTCCCTCTAGAGGCCCTGTCTTACTCTTCATCCCAATATAAACCAGGTCACCAACATCCTAAGGGAATTGACTGCCCTCAGCAGTCACATCTTCTACTTTGGTGTCACTGACATCCCTTCCATCTAGTGTTCCAGCCTTGTCACTGTTTCCCGAACTTGCTAACTTGCAGCCCTGCCCACTTACCTCTGACTTCATGGTTATTCCCACCTGTTTAGAGAGCAGCCTCTCCAAAACACTCTGACTGTGCTTCATGCTGCTGAAGAATCCTTAAGTGGTTCCCCATGACTGACTGAATTAATACCGAGTCTGCTTCAGGACTTCACATGAAGGACATCAGTATGTTCTACAGCCCTGTTTCTGCCACATGCTGTGCTTCAGGAACATGCTTCAGGCATTAGCTCACTGTGGCACTGCCCCTGCCCACCCATGCTTTTGAGTCTCTGTCTTCAGGTGGATTCTGATGCTACTTTGCTAATAGGTCCGTCTGTTGTGTGTCCACTGGGCTATAGCTCCTCCGTGGACACAGTGCACACAATATTTCTCTGCCTTGTTCCATGGTTATTGGGGGTTATCCCTTCAACCCTATGTAGGCTGAAAATTCCTTGAAGGTAAACAAACATTCAGCTGCATTAATTTTTGTGAGTCAGACTGTCTCAGATCAATGAATACTTGTTACATTTAATTGGTTGTATTAAGATGACTCAGACAGAATCAAAGCAATAAACTATGGCTGTGTGCCTATTGGATGCTGAATTGGGAATTTATATGATTTTGAACTTTCATTTATCATAAGTCCTAAGAGAAAAGGTAGAGTCCCTTAGCCCCATAGTCCTCCAGCCACATCCCCAGCTCTACCCTCCCTTCACTTACTTCCTCTGGAACATCACCAGTTTCTCGGCTTCTAGGTCAGACATGTCCAGTTTACCGCCCTTCTCTTTGACAGCTGGGTGTTTGCGCACAAGCAGCCAACCCACGTGAGAGAAGAAAAAGCCACGACGGGAATTGTGAGGATCAGCGTGGGTTTCTGAGAACTTGTGGTGGGCGCGGTGATCTCGGGCCCATTCATATACATCATTCTGGAAGGACAGAAGAGAGGAACCCAGTATTGAGAAGAGATGCCCTCCTGGGAGACTTCAGTGCCCAGATGTCTGCAGGAGTCTGACTCCAAAAGAGGCATGGGGTGTCTTCTTTTGGGTATTTGTCCCTGGAGCTTATGTGGAAATGCAATTTTTAGTTCTAGAGCACAGGAATTAGCTGAAAGCGGCATCGTGGGAAGAAGGAAGGTCAGAACACTCAGTGTCAAGACCTGGAACAAATTCACTTTCCTGTTTTCTTCTCTTTCTTTCTTTCTTTCTTTCTTTCTTTCTTTCTTTCTTTCTTTCTTTCTTTCTTTCTTCTTTTTTTTGGTCTTTTTGAGACAGGGACTCCCTGTAGCCCCAGCTGGCCTGGAACTCATTATATAGATCAGGCTGGCTTTGAAATCACAGAGATCCGCCTACCTCTGCCTCCTGAGTGCTGGGATTAAAGGTGCGCGCTACCACGCCCAGCTCCTGTTTTCTTCTTATAAACTCCATACCACAAGCTATCCTGTGCCCATTGTTATAGATTAACAACTACGACTCACTCTCCCCTCATTTTATATAGCCAGCTTCAATACTTGACCTAGCCAAAGTAGTAACTTCAGATAGGCCATGGTTGCTCTGTCTAACCTTTCAGTAACTCAGTTTATTTATCTATAAAAGATTGATGATACCTACCTCCAAAGATGACTGTGGGAATTTAATGTGTGAGCTTATATCAAGTGCTTAGCAGTAACCAGCACAGCCAGTGCCATACAGAGCTCCCAATTCTGTGACATATCACCTTCAATCCCATTGTGGTGACATTCTAAGATAGTCACAGTAAAGCATGAGTTACTTATTCATTGAGCATCCAGGAAACCAGAGTTAGTGTACAGACTGTACATCATGGCCTTTTAGGCTGAAGGTTTGCAACAGTGATAGTGTGTGAGATCACAGGGGCCCTGGGATGACAAATGAACTTATACCTGGACAGCCTTTCCTATTTGCTTCCCATTTCTCTTCCCAATAATGATCCCATCTTGCAAGGACCTCAGCCCTGAACCTGCAGCACTCAAGGTTACCACAGGAAACTGGGAAAAAGAGTTGGCTGTTCTAATAACTCTTCTTTGGGCACTGATTTCCCTTTACTCTACCATGAATCATTGATGGGTAGAGAGAAAAGCTTCTTACCTGGAAAGCCATGGTGTTGGCAATGATGAGGAAAATCCTCAGAGGCAGCCTCGCTTTGTAAGTTCGGTGGCTCCACAGACGATGAGCCCCAGCTGTGATGCCCAGGGCACTGATTACATAGCATAAAACCGCTGAAAGACAAGACCATGGTAAATTTCATTAGAGATAGTATGGCAAGGATGGTCTCCTGACACCAGTGTTTGTCTCCTTTGAGTTTGGAATATCTGTTTTCCATCAAACCCTAAGAATCCCTTAGTATCTGAAGCCTAGAAGCTTTTGCTACTTAAAAAAATAACACCACTTTCCAGTATTAGTACCTAGGATTGGAGATGAACGAAGGAGCCCCAGGAACTAAAGAGGCAGCAATACAAAAGAAATAGGCTCATGCTACTTGTCACTGATAGCCTTTAGCTGACCTGCTCTCAAAGTGCATAGGCCTGTAGACTGTTCCAGTAGAGCCTAAGACCATAAGATTATTCTGAGCTCTAGACTGTTCCAGTAGAGCCTAAGACCATAAGATTATTCTGAGCTCTAGACTGTTCCAGTAGAGCCTAAAACCATAAGATTATTCTGAGCCAGGCATATTGGTGCACACCTTTAATCCCAGCACTCGGGAGACAGAAGCAGGTGGATCTCTGTGAGTTCACGACCAGCTTGGTCTACATAGTGAGTTCCAGACCTGTGCACTAAGCAGTAGGAGGAGCCCTAAGTTATAGTGCACATGGAAATGATGCAGCTGATACAACAGCATTTCACTACTGTAGTAGGGGCTGCATCAATTTAAGAGACAGTCAGCCCTGGAGAGTCACATTTGCAGTGTCCTAAGCTTTACCAGTGACGTGAATATTATCATATTCACTACAGGCTTTGAATGGAGTAAGTACTATAATACTGTACTTTAGAGTTGAGGAAATAGATTCTAAGAGGTCAGGTGTAAACAAGATCACACAACTAGCAAAACGAGCCATCGTTTGAAGCTGGTTCTCTGTCAAAAAGAAGTTTATGTTCCAGTTCTACCTACCATCTACTCTACTAGATCTGTGAGTAGTTCTCATTTCTCCTTTGCCACTTCCCTTTGTCAGCCTAGACCTTGTTGATTTTTTTTTTTTTTTTCCCTTTTTTGGCCTTTTGGAGACAGGTCTTCCTGTAAACCCCTGCTGACCTGGAACTTCCTATGTAGACCAGGCTGGACTTGAACTCACAGAGATCTGCCTGCCTCTACCTCCCCAGTGCTGGGATTAAAGGCGTGTATCATCACGCCCATATCAGACTTTGTCAGTGTTAATTATAGACAATTCTAGGAAATGCAATTGAGCATCAAGACACTTTTCTGCCTTGTCATCTTCTAGGCCTGTAAGCTTAAGAAGACACTAAAGGAAGTACTGTGCATACCTAGCTCATCTGATTGCCAACACTACAATACTGGGACTGAGGCCTTGGTAGGGTAGAAACTGTTGATAGTATTTCACTCTTAGGGTGAAGCAGAAACAATGGCTCCTGAGGCCACAGAACTTAGTTGCTGTGGGGAGATACCACACTTTGTATAAGCTGTCCTATGTCCTTCTAGAACAGAGATAGCCGTTTCTTAGCAGCCTCCTCTGCCTCCTACATAACACCATTTCCTCCTAAAGGATCCCTGGGAGAGCCAGTGTCTGTCCTAAAGAAAGCTCTGGCATATTGTCTTAGAGCTGAGGGTGAAGCCCCAAGTGTTTCCTGTCCCTGGTCATGTGCACGGGATCTGACCACACTACCTGGAGAAACCCCAGGGGACCACTAGCCCTGCAATCAACAGGAGGAATGAAAAGATTTGCCATAAGATAGAAGTCCTAAATTTCATATCAAGGAAGCACACATGTTGGTTTCATGTTGCAGATGGCTCTGGGACAGTCACTCTAGACCACATATGGTGTCATCTTTTTTAAAAGCCTTTTAAAGATTTACTTATTTTTATTGATGTATATGAGTGCTTTGTCTGCATGGATTATGTATATGTCTTGTGCCTATGGAGATCAGAAGAAGGTATTGGAGCCTCTAGAACTGGATTGATAGATGGTTGTTAACCCCCATGTGGGTACTGGGAACAGAACCAGGGTCCTATGCAAGGACAGCAAGTGCTCTTAACCACTGAGCCATCTCTCCAGCCCCATAAAATGCCATCTCACCAGGGGAACTGGGATAAGAACATAGGAACTCTGGGGCCTATTCTACCCAAACCTTTTCAGTGCATCAAGAGTCCTTCCTTGTCCCCCAGGGGATGGTTAGCATCCACACTGGTGGCTATGAAACATCTCAAAAATTGCCCCAAGAAGTGGGCTGGAGGGGTTTTGCCATCAGTCCTCAATGTTGTCAGATGTTTCTTTAGCACTGGGGCCTCCCTCAGAGTTTGCAAAGAGAATGAAGAAGGCTCTGGAAATAGCTGCTTCAGGAGAAAGGCTGGTAAGACATAAAACTAGTCTAAGGAACATGGCCTTCCTAATCCTGACAAAGCACTGTTGTCTCTACTTGGTACCTGGAAAAACTGCAGATCTGAGAAAAGGAAGCTGCTCAGATCTAGGGCACCTGGAAAATTTCCAAGACAAAGCTCCAAGGACCAGATCTGAGTGCCTAGAAGTCCTAAGATACCCAGGGCAGGGGGAGTTAACACCTGGCCATCAGCCATCTTATACCCTTACTGTTTAAGAAAGAGCTGCCAGAAAAGTACTCACATCTGACACTCCTCCAGAAGACCTTCCTTGTCTTCCACAGAGGCACCCCAGCTAATTCCTCAAAGCAGTAAGTGTCCCCAGGTGTGCAGAGTTCCTGCTCCCTACTTCCTGATTCAGGCTTTAGGCAGTAGAGATGGCAATCCTGTCATCTGCCCACACCCACAGATCCCTGAGCTGAGCTAGGGCAGGGACACGGTGGCAGCAACCTTGAAGGTTCTATCCTCTGCCAATGAGGGGTCAACAGGAAGGACTATAGTTAGAAGGTACTGGGTCCTAGGTACTTCATGGCCTCAGGACACAAGGGCAGGAGCAAGAACCATTTTTGCAAACTTATTTCATTCTAAGAATATCTTGTTTACTGTCATGTGCTGTACCCTGCAGATCTCCTGGAGTAGTAAAGTCACATACCTGAGGACCTGGGTTGTAAGGAACTTGCTTCCTCCAGGGCAAACCAGCCTGGTCTAGCCATGGGGATGAGGTTCGATTAGTTGTAAGGATAGCTCTCTACTATTCTTTCATTTACAGTAACTTGCTCTGTTCCCTTATTGAACTGGATATGAGCAGCCCCTGGGACCCCTGCTCTGGCACCTGATTCCCATGCCCAAGTAGGGCTTGTTTCTCTAGTCAGGAAGGACTGATGCAGGGCTGAGATAGGCAGTGAAGTGAGTGACTCACACAGAAAGGCTTGTTCAGGGACAGCTGCCTCTCTTCCTCAGGTCTGTCCCTCCAAGGCCCCTGGACACGGGCTCAGCATCCATGATAGGGGACTCCTAGAACTGGCACTCCTGAATCCCAATCCTGCTAGGCTCTGTCCCAGCTGAGTCAGTTCATCAGAAACCAAAGAGAAAAGGGAAAATTGAACAGAGAAGAGCTGCTGCCTTGGGCCACACCCCACCTCATTAGAAAGCAGAGAAAAACTTGGGGTACTAGCTCAGGACAAGGGGAGCTGCTCACCAAAGAGGCAGGTGTAGAGCTTGCAGCTGGGAATCAGCGTGATCCCATACAGGGCTCCCATGTGCAGCAGGGCCATGAGGATGATGTTTCTCCACACGTACTCCAACTTGGGCGGGGGGCCCTCTGCATCCTGGTAGGTGGGGTCATGTATGTCTTCTTTCATTTCGGGACGTATGTCTTCCAGATAGAGGGGCATGTTCTTCAGCTTCTCTTTTCCATTCTGCGGGCCCCCAGAGGGAGGCTCCGTGATGGTGGTGGTGGTCGTGTAGGAGCCAGAGATCTGCAAGGAGAGGGGCTAAGAGAGTCAGGAGGGCAGAACTGGGGGTCCTGGTAGCACTTCGCCCCCCTAGTGCAGCTGCAGAAAGGGCTCAGTAAAAGGCTCAGACCCTTGCCTCACAGCCCAGGTTACACGAGGCTGGGATGTACTCTGAGATTAATCAGGGACGTTTCCAGAAACTGTGCAGATCCACTACAGATAAAACCACAAGATAAACGGCCAGTAGGAGAGAGGGGTGAAACGTTCGTACCCCTGGCAACACAAAGGAAATCCGCGTGCAGATAAAGGTACCTGCGAGACTCGCTTTTCTTTAAAGTTTAAAACGCAAAAGTTGGGACTAAATTACAATCCGCACTTCTCGACTGACTGAGCAATAGAGAAAGAGCGAAGCTGTCCGCAGAACATTCAACTCTCTTCCCCGCCAACCAGTCACCTAGAAACCCTGTTCGCGTGGCCGACACGCCGGGCGTGGGCTGTTTCTGGACGCTCACCTTCTGTAGCATGTGGGCTGGCATCGTGGCTCTCGGTTGCTGGGATCACTCTCCCAGGCTGAGACTGAGCGTGGACTTCGGAGTCCGCCGGTGCCGGGCGACCGGTGGAGAAGTGCTGGTAAACTTCAGCTCCTGGCACACTGGACCTGGCTGTGCGCAGAGCTTCGGGAGCTGGGAATTTAAAGGGTAAAGCAGACGATGGGATGACCGTGTCCAATATTTCCTCAGACCCCTTTATCCGCTGCCAGCAAGGGGCAAAGTGCGCAGGGCAGGCTAGCCAAGGCAGCCCGGCGTGGAGAAGTGGGCAGGAGAGGGGAGGGAGCCCAGTGGAGCCAGGAGCAGACCGCCGAGGCGCGGGGATGATGAAGACATCTACACGGTGCAGCTCCAGCCCCCAGCCTCGGGGTAAATGCTAATGAGCCTCCGGTAAACTCTGTCTTGTCATTGGCCAAAGAGAATTTGGTGCCACTTCGTCCAGCCCTTGCCATTGGCTCGGAGCAATCTGCTGTTCCCTCTGCCACCGGCTCCGAACTCTCCCCTCCCCTCTTTTCTCCTAGTCTGTGCCACCGGTTGATGGGTGACTTCTCTCTGGAAGAGAGCTTGGTCCCGCCGTAGGTATGGGGTAAAAACCCAGGAGCTTGGTGAATGGTTCCGTGGGGAAACTGCACCCAGAGCAATGAGAAGTCAGAGTGGCAACTGCCACTCACAACTCCGTCCGGTCTTACTCCCTACCCCCCACCCCCGGACACACCAAGACGCGAACAGGAGGAAACTTCCACTTCTGAGACTGAGGCGGGAGGGCGGGCGCAGCCTACTTTGAGGTGTCTAGCCCCTCAGCTCTAGCCCCGGGGAACAAGGATTTTGTCCCGCCGGCCAACACCGGGATGCTAAGCCAGACCTGCTTGGGTAGCCCAGGCAGACACTGACCTCGCACCGCGCTCAGTCATTGGTCACAATCTTCTGGGGACTGCCTCCGCCTGGAGCTAGAGCCCAATCCCATCCCCAGGCCTACGCGGGCGGGACGTTTGGGAGATTTCTTTGATAGTCAGTTTGGAATTTGAAAATTTTACAAGGAAAGAGACCGGCCACAAAAACGAGGTCTATTCACCTAGCTGCACGTGGAGTCGAAATGGCAGGTATTGCTTGGTCCCTTACCAGCGAATCACAAGAATCGTTTTGTTGAACCCTCACCGGGACCCTGAGCATTGGGTACTCCTTGGCTCCATTTTAAAGAGGAAGAAAGTGAGATGTGGAGAGGTGAAGTAAATTTCCTATGGCCACACTAGCCTACAGTAAGAGCTAGAAACTGAGTACAAAATGCTAGAGATTGTCTCAACAGTGCCTCATGGGTGGGGGAGGGGCCATGAAGCCCCACCCCTCGCTGAGGGGCTATCGCCGGGGAATTGCTGTTGAGGAAGGAGGTGTGGTTTTAAGTTGTCCTTCCGCCAGTAAATAACCTCCCATCTCTGCTACGGCAAGAAACTAAAGTCAGTGTGCTACACACTGTTGAGGAGGGTTCCAGGCTAGGGGGAGAGGGAAGCGAATGAGAGAGGAGAATGGGGGACGAATGAAAATGGCTGAAATTCATTATATTAATGTATGAAAACGCCAAACAACGACAAAAATAAACTGTGAGGCTGGTGCCCAGGTGCTCAGCCCTTCTTGCACCCTACTGCCCTAGGAGCCTGAGTTGCTCACCTCACAGACCTCTCGCTCACAGCCCCATCTTCTCTGCCTGTGGGAAGCCAAAGGGCAGTTTGGACCCAGGCAGGCGATGCATTTACCTAGCTGGCTTCCAGGCCCAGATCTTCCCGGACACTGCCCATCATCTCTGGGAAGAGGAGATAGATACTGAGTAGTCACTGGCTTCTCAGGAAGAGGAATCTGGCATTGCCTGGGAGGAAGTTCTGCGCTCTGGTTTCGAGGACTTGGCAAATCCCTAGCCAGTGACCCAGTTCCATATCCCTGGCCAGTGTAGTGAGAGTGATGAATGGAAGCAGGTATTCTCAGAGACGGACAGCTGAGCTGGTGACAGCTAGGTGCTGGGTGTGAAGGGGAAGTCTCCCTTCAGTGTCTGATCTTCTGATCTGCTTAGTGTTGGTTCTTTTTTTTTTTTTTTCTTTTAATCTTTTTGAAACAGGGTCTCCCTGTAGCCCCAGAGATCTGCCGGCCTCTACCTCCCGAGTACTGGGATTAAAGGCGTGCACACCCAGCCTGCTTTTTACTAGCTGCAAGTCTTTTCCTTGTTCCATCATATTGCTACAGTAGACTAGGGGTGTGCATGTGTGTGTGTACTCTTGTGCACATGTGTGCAGGTGTACTCACCTGTGTGGACACATGTGGAGGCCAGAGACTGACATTAGTGCCTTCCTCTATCACTGTCCACATTATTTTTTGAGACAAGGTCTCTCACTGAGCCTGGCATTCGCTATTTCAGCTATGCTGGCTGGTCAGAGAGCCCAGGGACCCACCTATCTCTATTCCCTGGCACTACAGTTACAGACCCCTACCACATCTGGCTTTTACATGGGTGCTAGGGATCCTAACTCAGATCCTCATACCTGTACAGAAAGCACTTTACCCACAGAACCATCTCCCCACCCCCAACCCCCTGTTTTTTGAACAACAGAAATTGATTTCACACAATTCTGGAACCTAGGAGCGTCTAGATCAAAGCAACAGTAGCTGTGGTGTCTGCTGAGAAACGGTCTCTGGTCCATAGGTGGCCATCTTTCTGCATCTTCGCCAAGGGAAGGACTGAGCTTTGTCTCTAGGGTCTCTATCTTTAAAATAAATTATTTGTTTATTTGTTTGTTTATTGATTGATTGATTTTGTGTGTGTGTGTGTGTGTGTGTGTATAGATGCAGTTGTGCCAGGGCACCAGTGTAGAAATCAGAGGCCAACTTGCAGGAGTCTCTTTCTCTTTCTGCCATGTGGGACTTTGGGATTGAACTCAGATCATCAGACTTGGTGACAAGCCTTTACCCGCTTGAACTGTCTTGCCAGCCCTGGGGTCTTTTTTATTAACAACACTAATGCCAGAGCTAGAGAGATGACTCAGCATTTAAGAGCACTGATTACTCTTACAGAGGACCCGGGTTTGATTCCCAGCACTCACATGGCAGCTAACAACCATCTGTAACTCCAGTTCCAGGGGATCCTCTTCTGACCTCCGCAGGCGTTGCATGACATGGGTGCACTTACACACATGCAGGCAATACACTCATACACATAAAATAAAAATAATAAATAAAATATTAAAGGCACTAATGTCATTCACAGGGACTCAGTCCTCATGATCTAATTACCTCTCAAGCCTCCACTCTAACTCCAAATGCTATCATATGGGGATTAGGGTTCAGCATTTGTATGGTGGGAAGTGGGAGGGTTGGGTATATGGTACTTTCCAGGAAGAAGATTTAAGATTTCTTTAGGAGTGTACCCTTAATTGTGGCTGAAGATGAATCTATATTTGAGATGAACTTTGCTTCTTTAGGATTACTTAACTATATTTCACCCTTTTTTTCTCTAGACCTTAGGTTTCATCAGGAGTATCTGAAAAGCCAAGTTCTCCCGGCACTGAGAGCCACTAGTGCTACAGGTATTATCACCCAGTGCTGGGAATGTTACTTAGGCCAACTGCCAGGACATTCATTGTTTGCAAGAGAAAGCAAGAGCAGGCCTGCCAAGACTCCAATGCAGAACAGGAGTCCTCTGTTCTCTCCAAAGGCAGACTGCTATACTGGGAAGGAAGCTTCAGGAACCTAGAAAAGAGCTGGATTAGAGAGAGTGAGTCTCAGAAAGAAAGGACACTGCCAATCTCACTGTATATTATCAAGACAGAATGGGGACTGACTGGCTCATTCCAAGTTTATCACATGCTGAGAATTGTAACACTTCGTTCAAACCTCAGGAGCTCCCAACTGTGCACAAAATAAGGTTGCTTGATCAGAGTAATATTGTGTAGAAAGTATGAGAGTTGGTATCAGGATTATTAGGTCAGAGGCAAGTTAGAATGAATAAATAGATATGTGATCAAGATTTGTTGGCAATATCATTTACAATCCTGCTGATATTTTAGCATCAAAAGGGAAGATACAGAGCAATCTTGTAAGATGGAGATTAGTGTTAGAAATACTCCTGTATGAAAAGGGGCACACGGTGCCACGACAGTTTTGAAATTTTAAGAAATTAAAAAGAGAGCAAGAAAAGCAATAACAACAACAAAACCCCAGAACGCAGGCCCTATTTAGCCACCTTCAGTAAACAAGCTCCAATAGCAAGAATTCATAGAAACAAATTTGTTTATTTATTCAGTCCTCAAGTGGCCCTCGGTCTACATTTTCAGACAAAGAATTGTTCATCTTCAGGGAAGGTCTGAGAGTGCAAATATGTGCTTGAAAACCATTCTCTGGCTCACTGTCATTCCTCTGGGTGTTATGGCACTCAACCTTGGAAGTACTGAGGTCTCCTTGTCCCACAAAGCATATGACAAGGTGACGCTATAGACCCAGAGGGACATTTCAGTGAGGATTATATTAGATTATCCCTCACCCACACTCTTGAAAATTTGTCACCACTATTGGCATGAACTTACCTAAAACACCATACAGAGTTGAATGATGTGTCAGCTTTACCCACCATCTGTTCTCCTTTCTTAACATGGAAGCCCTGTAGGTACTTCCATTGTGGAAAAGAGAGACCTTCAGATGATCACCTGAGAAATTCTCACTCTAGTTCTCTGACTAAGAATTTGCTTCTTTTGAGAAGATATTGCCCCCCGTCCTGAAACTAGACACAAGATTCAAGTGATGGTTGCCAAACTTAGCATTCTGACTTGATAGATTTTTGTTTCATCATCAGACACCCTAGTTCAGAAAAAGAACAAACTGTCCCAACAATTATGAATTATAAGTCTCTATAAAAGGCCTATACAGATTGACCAACATGACTCAAGATGATTAAAAAACCAAAAACAAAGGGACTAGAGCACTTGAGACAATAGAAACACAAACACTTGAGGGTATTACATATGCACCAATACCAGTGAAAATATTGTTTAATGGGCTAGGGTTGTAGCTCAGTGGAAGAGCACTTGTCTGGCAGAGAGGAGGCCCTAGGTGTGATTCTCCAGTACCATGAAAAAATATTCTGTTTAAGGGATCGGAGAACTGTCTCAGCAGTTAAAAGTACTTGTTACTCTTGCAGAGGACCCTGGTTCTGTTCCCAGCACCTACATGATAGCTAACAACTGTCCATAACTCCAGTTCTAGGAATCAGATGCTTTCTTCTGGTTTCTGTGGACACCAGTCATAGATGTAGCACACTCACATACAACACGTACAATCATATTTTTTTTTTTCGGAGACAGGGTCTCA